CAGAAGCAGATGATGCTATGGGCCTTACTGAGGCTGCTCTGCCTTTCACCCTCCACAGCTGCCACCTAGTGGCATCCATCGGGCTGCTGAATTCTTTCTCTCAATTCTTGTTAAAGAATTTGTAACTTGAAGAATGAGGGCCTGAAGGCTTTTTTCTTTGTGGAAGAATGGTTTGTGTGGGGATTCAAAAGGATGGCCTATCTTGGCCTCCTTATGGACAGGGGTTTAGCACGCTTCAGGAATAGCAGCACCATTGAATAACGCGATGTGAGAACACTGGCGCAGTAAACCCCTGTCCGAAAGAAGCTGTTGGATTACCATGCAAAACAGTTCTGCCAGGCCAAAGCAAATTGGCAGGCACCATTTGAATACAGGTTTAGCGTTATCCCAGAAGTGGGTTAGAGCTGTCCCAAAGCCCCCCAAACAACAACTGATATGTATGGGGAGGGTGTGACCTAAAGAAGCACCTTGCTGTCTCTCCATTGTACTTGGTTGCATACTAGTAAAGAGGAAAAGCTCCACTTGGAGTCCCATTCTTGATGTAAATGTATACAAAGGATACTCCTACCACTCACATATAACAAAACTACCATCTCAAACAGTGATGGTCATAATCCTAATCTGTTGGAAAACAGTGTGTGTTTTCAAGACAAAACGAGCCAGTCTTATCATTAGGACAGTCCAGCAAAAATTCATGTGGAGAAGAAATATAGAGAAAAAGAGAAAGGGAAAAGTGATATAGAAACACTGGAGAATAGACCTGTGCCATTTCAAGGACAATGCAGCATTCCTTAAGGTAGTATGCTACCATCAGCTATAATGGACAGTGATGCCATGGGTATTAAAGGATACGTTGCCAGGATCTGCACAGGGGATTGAGAGGAATCATATTGTACTTTGCTTTAAATCAGTAATTCTCAACCTTGACATGTTGGGTGTGGAATTCTGGGAGTTGAAGTCCACCCATCTTAAAGTTGCCAAGTTTGAGAAACACTGCTTTAAGCAAGAAGATATAACTTGGCCTGGCCATGTAATATTTACAGTAATATTATTTTAGACTTTTCATCTTCCATGTTCTATACCTACAATTCCTAGGGAATTGCTATGATCCCTGACCACTGTCTTATGACTTTAGAAATAGTGGTCTAAAACTGGCTTGCCTCCACATCAATATATCATTAATTATTCTTGGAATAAATTCAAGTGATTATTTTGTCAATTTGTTCTCTGGATGTTGTTTTGGGTTGGTTAATGTATGGCTTTTAGTATTGCCAAACAAGTAACATTCAAAAACATCGCATCGCTTCAAGTCATCTTAGCAACAATGCATGGATGAACTTGTGATATTTGATATGCTACAATCCAGATGTGGATTGCTTAATTGAGAATTAGGGCATCATGTAAGATACTTAAAACTTAAAGATGATGTCATTCGACTCACTGCTTCCCAGTCATTAACAATGCAGGAAAAAAGACAAAATTGAGTATTAATCCTATCAACACTTGTGAATGCTGTTTGTCTACATGGAAAGGGATCTAGTCCTATAAAATGAAGCAAATTTTCACTGATGTACTTTCCAAAGTTTTTACTAAGCAGTAAAATCTGTAGAAGATTAAGATGGTGTTTTCAATTTACTACATATTCTGGCAAATGGTTGCTAAATAAAATATAAAACCAGTTGGTTCCTTTCTGCCTAGGCTGCAAGCCATTTCCTCCCCCCAATCTGGTGCCCTCCAATCGTAATGGGATTGCAAAATTCTGAAATTCTAAGATTCTCAGCCAGTAGGGTCTTCAGTGTTCTCCATATGAAGAACACTAAATTGATGAAAGTTGCTCTAAGTTCTCTGGCTTTACATGATGGGATCCTTTTAGAAATGCTGGATTCATATGTTTATTACAACTTTTGTCATCCTCTGGGGGGGGGGGGAGGAAGAGCCCATGAAAGTACTTTGTGGATGTGAAGTATGTGTGTTTGGGGAGCAGTTTCCTTCTGTGGGACCAGTATGACTAAATACAGCAAAAGATTTTGAACTGTAATAACAAGAAGATTTTGTGGTAATCTCCTGACTATACAGAAAGTTAAAATCAGAGCCATATGCAACCAATCACACCAATGATGTATTACTTGTCTAATCATTAACTTAAAGTGCCATATAAGAATTTGTAATCCATAATAAATCATTTTGCAAGAATGATTCAATGTATTACTGACTAATGCAAAACAGGCTTCTTTTCACAGGCTGGGGTCTGCCAAATATTAAGGGGGTGCTGGGCAAAACAGAAGAGGAAAAAGAGGATTTGGGATCTTTAATGACATAAATTATAGCAATTGTAGAACAACAATACATCAGTTGTGGTTTGAAGATTATTGGGCTTTAAATTTAGGAAGATGAAATAAACTAACTAGAGCTGTGCCAGGATTGCGGTGTCATTATGATTTGCAAATATGGATTCAGCTGTTTTTTAAATGCCTACAAATGGAAACTTTTGGTGACAGAATTTTGAATATTGGAATATTCCAGAATGCCAATGAAGAGAGAAAGAAAGCACAGGAAGAAGAGTTTCCAATCAGTTTGCTGAGTGTTTTCCTGCACAAAGTTTCAAAGACTACTGTTAAAAAGAAAAACTGAGCAAACTGGTTTTATTTTAAAATTTAACTACATGCCAGTTGGCTTGTGATAATCTCTGTTCCACTTCACTATAAAGATAACAAGAGGCAGGAGAATCAAGAAACCAAGGTGACATCTGGGTGCTGACAATGGCCTTAAAGATTAAATAAGTAAATAATAGGGAGCAATGAAAGAGACTGGACTCCATTGGTTCCTAATGTATAGTTCCCAGATGTTGGTGAATGGCAACTACTGGTAGCAGAAACATGGGCAATAGTTAAGAAAGATGGAAGATATAATGTAGTAACATCTGGAATGCTACAGACTATGGTGAACTATTCCTCAAGTATCTCTGTAAATACCACCTTCTGATCTGAGGTGAACTCCAACGATGAGAAGGTGAAATGCTCATACTTCTTAGGTGTTGGTACTTTTTTCTTTTACTGATCTCTGAATGCTTTTCATATTTGTTTGTTTCAACTCAGATTCTCTTTTTTTTACCCACACACATTTGGCATACTTTGGCTTCTTTCACATTGAAATCTAAACTACACCCTGCCCCCACCTGCCCAACAGTGAAGTAACAAGAATGGGAGAAAACAGCCTCAACCCAAAATTAAACCCCAATGCCAATCCATCCCTAGGCACTCTGATCTAACCTTCAGCAACTTCACAAGACTTAAAACTTGGGGAAGAAAAAGTATGGGATAGTGGTTAAGACACCAAGCTACAAACTGGAAGACTGTGAGTTCTTGTCCCTGTCTTAAGCACAAAGTCAACTTGGAAGGAGGCAATGGCAAACCAATTGTGAATAAGCTTGCTAAGAAAACTTCAGGGTCTTTTCCAGGCAGTCTCCAAGAATCAAACACAATTGAATAGAAGGGGGGGGGGAACTGGATTCAGGATATGGAAGATGTTCAGCCTCTGTACCATCACCCGTCTCTAGATAAGCCAGATATATAGCTCACGAATGAAGGAGAAAATATGTGTCCCAAGATAATTTTGCAGGATCCAATCTGGATCAGTCACTGGGACCGGAGATTTTTTCTTCCAAGCTTTTGGACTCGTGTGGAGCCCATCTTCAGATATATACAGCGTTTTCTTGCTATTTAAAATGTTATTTTAAAAATGAATGTTTCATCACCATCTTCCTAAATATTTCAGGTCTGGCTGAATCCTACAATAACACTGTTAGATTAATAAAGTGGCAAAGTAAAATGTATTTTTAAAAGTTTTATAAATATAAATTAGTGATATTTTGCCAGCAGCCCACATCCTTACATACACACACACACACCTTTACACCCTTATGGGTGGTCTGGGTTTTCCTCAATCTTGAGTCCTCTTATATTTAAATGGGGCTAAAACCTAGCATGCCTATATCCCTTAGAAGAATTCCCATCAAACTATAAGGCAAAATGCCAAACTTGCAAGAGAAATTTATCTGGAGCCCCACTTTGCAGTGCCTGGGCCTGACAATAATCCTTGACCACCCTGAACAATTCCTGTGGAGGTCTCATGTCCAAGGTTTGTGAAGCCAGGAAGTGAAGGAATTGTTACTTGGGAATAATAACCCTTCAACCCCATTTCTAAATAGCCCCTCTAATTAGCCAGTCCTTGAGATCCAGCAGCAGTGGCTAAGGTAAGTTTTGAAGACAGAAGCATGAAAATGTAGTCTTTGTTGAGCAGCTGCTGGGACAAATTTTCATTAGTCATCCTGATCTGCTTACTCAGCTCTTAATCTTCAACTTCTTTCTGCCTGCCTGATGTTCTGGACCTCTAGACAGAGCTTTTCTAATATCAGTCTGGCATTGATTGATGTACATTTTAAGTACAATTTTTAAAAGAATGCCTTTAACTTATGGGTTGTCTCTTGTTCCATCCTTCCATTTGGCTCAAGAATTGCTACAATAGTAATTGAACTTGTGAGTACTATCTTGTCTCTGATTCTCCATTTGCTGACTTGGTAACGCCTAAAATAGAAAACAGTATCCCCACGTGCTCATTCCTGCTTCTTTATATCTTCTTGGGGTGAAAAGCACTGGTCATTCCTCAGACTATTGTTTTGTTTTTAAAAAATCTGAATATCTTCAATAAAAACTGAATATCTATTTGCATATTATTCAAGAACCCAGGGGGCAGAGGGAGTAGGTGAACTGGAAAGGCTGGGTGATTTTAGAGATGGAATCAAATGCAAAATGTTACACACTTAGAAGGAATATGTCCACTTGCATTTAGTTCACCTGGCTGATGAATGAACAACTGTTTTCAGCCAAAATAATTGTCAGTAAAATTCATGTATCTGGTTTATACTTATTAAAGTTATGTAAGTATGTTGGTGGTCTTATCGAAGTAGATGCAGTCCTTATGGAGATATTAAGCAGGTCTGATTATGGCAAAGGTGGGAATAGCTTCTCATAAGGAGGAGGTAAGGAATCATTGCAAAGATCTTCATCCAATATCTCTTCAGGTTCCACAAGACTGTTAATTGACCTAGAAATGTGATGGGTGGATGAACGGGGAAAGAAGCATTTTATAAGATGCAACAACCAGCAAAACAAACAAAGGAGATATGAATAAAAAGAGGTATTTTGAAACATAACACAAATGTATTTTGCCATCTAGAATGATGGGAACAGGCAGGGGGTCTTGGACATTTGTACTTAGGGCAGGTTTTATATGCATGTCCAAAATGTGCTTGCATTTCTCCCTGCAAAATGCAAGGGAGACACAAATGTGCACTTACTGTACAAAAGCTTGATGATGCAGAAAGGTCAATAGAGATTAGTGTGTCTCAGTATTGTTAACCTTATGCTTTTGTTTGAAAATGTGTTATTTAACAGCTGGTACCTTAGTTATTGCAGCAAATTCAATATATGACCAAACATCAGTTAAGTAGGATTCAGATCATATTGAAATACACTGTTGCACCATAAAATGAAAAGGTCCAACATATTATTATAAGAAAATTGGAGGATATAATTGTTTCGTGCGTAGAATGCAACCTTCTCTTTACTTTATATATTCCAAAGCTCCAAAAAATAAACTCTGGGTCCAAAACCGATGAAGATCAGGTTGTGATAATATATACCCAGTAATCCACTCCCTTTATTCTGATAAAATTATTATGCACATTAGCCGAAAAGAAAGTTCTTTCAAAGATACCCCAACTGAAGAGGAAATACTACTAAAAATTTTCAACTGCGTAGAAATGGATAGACTCACCTTGGAACTCAAGGATAAAAGCGAAACATTGTACTATAAAATCTGGGCAAAATTCTACAAATGGTTAGGTAAAAGGAGGATAGCCGAGACAAATGTGTAGTGTTAGACTAGAATTATATACGTTATTATAGAGAAGTATATATGTGAATTGTATAGATAGGTATATGTAAGTATAGATACTGTATGTATAATTGTATAGGAATAAGGTATAAATGTTTAATATTATACTATGTTTAAATAACATATAAGGTGTAAGGAATATATTATTATATCATCATTAGTATATTATATATTAACTTAAAGTGTTGGAAGATGCTTGGGACCAGTGATGTCATATCTATGTCCAATGTTTTTAATTTTGAATTACTAATAAAAAACTTTTTTTTAAAAAAAGAAAGTTCTTTCAAGATAAGAGAGAAATGTACTTGAGAAAAACACCAACACTTGGAAAATTAAAGCTGCATGTCAGTGAATTACTTAAGTGGAATAGCAATAAGCTGTGAAACTGTAGAGCTTCAGGCAATACTTTCATTTGAAGCAGTAACTGGAATTTTACCCAAGGAATGATACTAACTCTACTTCCTTAATACCTTTATCTGGATCTTGTAGTTTTGCCCTGAAGTGTAATAACTCCAAATAACTTACCTTTCACTTATGGTGTCCACTGTAAGATAAGCAGAATAATTCTCTTCTAAAAAAGCTGAGCTGCCCATGGGAGTGACATTATCAGAATGAGGATGATTAAGAATAGGAATTATTGATGAGGAGCCAGGGAGAAATTCAGAATGGCTCAATACTTGCTGCCAATTGGCCAAATTGGTAGCGACCCTTTCCTGGGTTGGAGAAGGCCGGTAAGGAACCATTGCAGCTCCATGAAGAGTGATGGGCTGCCTAATTCCAGCATAAAGCCCATTATATGTTCTTTCGGTGCCAAGTGAGCTCTCTTCATTCTGGTTGCAAGCGTTGCAGGAGAATATTTTAAATTTGAACCCAGCAATCAGCAGAAATGTCACGCCCATTAAAAACAGAGTGGGCCCAAGCAATCGAGTCCATTCAAAGTGAATGACTCCTTCATATTTCACCCATCCAATCACAGTGAAGGTGATTCCTATAACCCCCAAAAAGATTCCAGAGAAAAGTAATCCTGCCCCAGCTTTGTCATCCTCAGATGCAGGAATTTCAGAGTGATTTTGCTGGCAAGGAGAGATAGAAAACCCATTGGTAGAGGTAGCTTCTGCAGTGTTGTGGCTTTGTTCCATTACACAGGAGACCAGTTCTGAAATAGCCTGGAAAAGGAGATGTTTATAAAAGTATTCCAGGCTGAATGTTCCTATTTGTTACACAAGAACTTTGTTTACATTAACATAGTTAAACTACTGCAGACTCTGGACTTTCTGGTCCTAAAGGGGCCCTTCACTTTATACTGTGTGTTATTCCAAGTTTGTCTTATCCTACCTGCCTTGTCTCCAGAGATAAATACTGACACATAACCTCAAGGTTACATCTAACCCAGGGTTGTCAAACTCACGGCATCACATTGTCATCACATAACATATTGTGACATTTTCCTTCGCTAAATTGGGGGTGGGCGTGGCCAGCACATGATACATCTGGCCCACAGGCCACGAGTTTGACACCCCTGATCTAACCTGTGCATCTAACCTACATCTAACTTAAAGGAAGTTCATACACAAATTACAACTACCCCCGCATCTTCAAAAGTAGAAAAGATACAACTGATAGTAGACCAGATGGGGTGAGGTAGGTAATAAATACCCTTCATACTTCGTTGTTATTACATTCTCACTTAGAGCAAAAATTCAAAACTAAATGGGAAGTTGCCTTGTCTTACCACTCTTCTCTTTGGCAATTTGTGTTATTAAATTTTGGATATCTTCTGTAGGGATTCTGGATTATTAGAAGTGGGAATAAGAATGTAATCACACCTCTACATTTTACAATGTTATCCACCTATCCTTGAGTCAGCAGAAAACTATGCTGGTTTGGATTTTGCTATCTTATCCCAATCCTGACCCTATGACTTCTGTTCCCAGTTACTTCAGTCACCTGACTTCTTTTCAAAGTAGTGTAATGAGTGAGGAACTGTTATCCACCTTAAGGCTGATCTTGGATGAAGTCAGAAGAGGAAAATATTACTTTAACAGAGGTACAGCTGAGAATGACTTAAGGCTATCATTCAGGGGTTGAGAATGAGATGAAGGCAACATCATAAAGACACAGTAAAAAAAAAAAAGAGAGCATCTGTAGCAGGGAATATGACCTGGTCCTGCATTTTGGAATCATTTTAGGCAAGTCACATTTCCCCCTAGAATATAGTTATGATTAACAAAGAAATCCTATAAAGGATCTTGCCTAAAGGATTCTTTTCTTTAAAGAGTAGAGATCTGAGAAGTGATTTTTGATTTCTCCCAATTGGTAAGTCAGGTTTAAATTGGTAAATCAGGTTTACAGATGGGACGCTGTTTACAATCTAATTGAATATGCTTCCTATCAGATATATAGGTCTTTTGAACTATTTTTCTTCCTTTGTGCTTCTTCCAAGTAATGTTCCCAGAGTCTTTGATTTGGTTTTTTATAAAATATGTGCCAAACAACATTGTCACAACTAAACTAAGCTGTTTATCTGGATATACTTTTATTTTTAAATCTCATACTACTTGCTTTAATAATTATAATACAGCCAGCAGGATCTGTTTATGCTTACACCTCTTATTTCTTCTCTGTGCCTGAATCATAATTCTACTTAAAGTTTTAAGCTTATGATAGAAATTCAGGGATTAGCTTTTGGATCAAATAATATACCATTTCACAAACAAAAATAAGTCCTAACTGAAATAGATCTAATTTAGGCTTCTTCCTGAGCCAGCTTGTTTTGCATTAATGCCTTGCAGAAATCTAATTTGTAGCAGCAGATGAAGAAGACAGAATCATGGACATGGATATGGCTGTGTTACCAATATTCTGTCTCTAAAGTCCTGGATGAGCATAAATGAGTGACATAAATGAGCTGGAAACTATTTCATAATCTGGCGAATGCATTTTTACATAGTAGCCTGAAAACTTGCTTCCAATTTGTCATATAACTTTTTAAAGAATTATTATGGGCTCCCAAAATATTAAATGATTTCTAACTGTTTCTTACAACAGCCTCTTTCAAAGGAGCTTGTAAAGGTAAAGTCAAAATAAAGAAACTGGCTAAGCAAAATCAGATGATGTTCACAAAAACATCATCCTGGTGGTGCATAAACTGCGAATGCTTTGTGAGGACACTTGTAGATTGCTCCTGTGGCAGGCATCAAAGCAGAAATAACATTAAAAATAGTGTAAAAATCTTGTGTGTTCGGAAGTTATCACTCAACATTTTGCAAATTTTCAGGTAAGGGATTTTGGTGATTCCACAAGGTCTTAGCCACTGCACTTTTAAAAATGATTTTAATTTGAGAGAATCCAGAAATACCCTTGGGTGTATGGTGAGTTAACACGTGTGCCTGCCGATTCAATGTTATAAATCCTTGACTTAAATTGTAGTTCTCAAAAGCTTCAAAGACATTTGAGTAGTCACACTGAGGAAAAAGAGTAGAAATTGCAATTGCAGAATGTAAGTATCAGGTCTGGGGCTAAATGAATGATGAGGGAAATGGGGGGGGGAATCAAAATTCTTTATTGCCATCTAGAGGTTGCTTTTATTTTTTGTTTGGCCAAATTTGATTTGGTTACAAAGATCTGGACTCTTCTGCTGCCCAAAGCAGAATATCCTTGGAAGCTCAGGGGTTGGAAGAGCTGGTGGTATGTTGGCACCAGACAACATGGCCAATAGGTGTGTATTGATCCCACCCTCTATGAGTCATTTGACCATGGCACCAACTGAATGGTCAGTAAAATATGTCAGGCTGTATCCACAGGTAAACAATTGTGACTTGTTAATTGCTTAATAGGGAAAGCCCTAATTTCAATTTGAAACATCTTGGGATGACTTTAATCTGACTCAAATATAACCTGGAGCGAGAAGAAAACATTGTCATGAGGATACTGTAGGAAAAAAAGAGGTGATCAGATATACAGGTAGTCCTCGACTTATGACCACAATTGAGCCCAAACTTTATGTTGCCTTTCTTGTCACACTTCAGCTGTTAAATTGCTAATATGATTGTTAAGTGAATCTTGCTTCCCCAATGACTTTGCTTGTCAGAAGGTCACAAAAGGGAATCACATGATCCCAGGACACTGAAACTGTCATAAATATGAGTCAGTTGACAAGCATCTGAATTTTGATTGTTGTAATTCAAGGACTACCTGTATTCATGCTGTTGTTAATCAAAAGTGGGGAAAGATTCTTAGAATAGAATGAGCCAAAGGAGGTGTTGAGTTGTTTTGCTTGTTCATCTTCACAGAGCATTTGGTATGATGATTCCTTTTTCTTTATTTTGAATACATTCATAAAAGCCATCTTCGTTGTTTATCATACTTTGCCAGCTCTTGTTCTTTCAGAGCCTTAATTTTTCTGACACAATTTCTAAAAATATAACTCTTCGAGGTAACCTATCTCTCTTTTCACTTCTGATGTCTTTTTGTTTTCAGATTTTTACTAGACATTTTGTACAGCCAGTTGGGTGACTTTCTATGAACTTCCTCCCCACTTTCTTGTTAGAATATGCAGTTGTGCCTTTTTAGGAACTCCTATTATTCTTTTCCTATTAACTTTTGCTACCATGGAATGCTACTTTCTAGTATTGCTTAGATTGTAATTAACTTTTCTTTCAGTAAACTAACTCAGCTTTAAATTCCTTTCACATCAGGAATTTCAGTCATGCTCCACTGTGTCCTGTTTAATGACTTTCTAATGGACGTGTCTAGGCCTGCGGTTTTAATTCTTTATTAGAACTCAACTTCATATTGTCACGATTATGAAGGTAACAGATATTTCTTAACCCCAAATCTTTTCTGGTAATTCCTGATAAGAATATGAGTAAATAAAAAGTTTAGCAAAAGAAGTCAAGCTCATACAAGAGGCCAGGTGAAAAATAAACAAGTAGTTGTACAATAATCACAATTCCTGGGAAATTAGTCATTACACAGTTGCAGGGCTGAAGCATTAACTCAATTTAGTTTTAACTTAGTATTTTTATCCATTGTCTAAGTAGGCTATTTATCTAAGGACTATAAATACTTTGAACAGATACCGTTTATTAGTAAGTGGGCAGTTGTAGAGTCCACCTCAAAGCATTATAAATTATTAAAGCAGTACTTAAACAACTCATAAAGTTGGAATGGTTCAATGTAACTTAAACTTAGGCTTCTCTGCCTGTCAAAGAATATGTTCCTATGATTGCAGATCTGGATCTGGGAAGCTGCTCTCTGCATCTTTTCACATAAGTAGCTGTATTATTACTCTAGTAAAGTTGTTATTAATGCTATTATATGTTGTTATCTTGCAAAGGAGAACTGCCAGCATAGTTCTATACAGTCACATTTGACTACAAAAAGGGAAACTTTACCAAAAAGTGTGGCTTGTAAAAAAAAGAGATGGAAAAGAAAAATAAAGAGGGCAATTATAATGCCTGGAGGTTATTTAAGTAATAATTCAACAATGTAAGAAAAGATGAGTAACAATAATAGAAGAAAGAAAGAACAGAGAAAGAGAAGGAATTAAAAGAGGATGAGGAGGAAAAGCATGGTGAAAAAATTAAAAGGAGAAATAAACAAGTTAGTGGGAAAAATGGTTGGACATTAGACAACAAAGAAATAAAAAGGATGATCAGAACATTGAGAAGGCAGAGAAAGCTATCAATTGTTTTAGTAGCTGTCTTTATTACAGAAGACATTATAATATACACAACTAACCCTGTATTGACTTTCTCAATACTAGAAGACACTGAGGAAACAAGAAAACAAATTAGGACCTAAAGTAGAAGATCTTGATGGCATTCACCTGAAAGTTATTAAATAAAAGTAAAATTGCTGATTTTCAAGAAAAAAATGTGCAGTTTGTCAATTAAATAAAGTTCAGTGCCAGAAAGCTGATAAGTAGTAATTGTTCAAAATGCCCATGTCCAAAAATAGTCCAGCAGATAATTCAGTGCAATGATGGGTGAAGTGAGAGAACTCACATAGCATATTGAAAAATATCTTCCTGTTTCATTCCTGTCCTGTACCTCACTGACATATTAACCAGGCTCTTTTAAAAAACACACTGGTCACCACTCATCCAGGTCAGTACATCTTGGTTCAAAAATACCCCACCTGACAGATCAATAAATCTGAAGGAGGGTAGGAGGGAGTTCATATGGTTCATTGAGAAGTCTCATCCTGATTCATCGTCTGCCCCAGCACTTTCCAGCTAGTCAGTCAGCTGGACTATTTTGTTGGAACATATATTTATTCAGAAGACAAGTTTTACCAAGCTAATAAAAACAGAAATTGGCTTACTTTCCCAGTTTAAAACAATCTTTTGTGAAGAGAGAGCTAATTCTATTTTTGGAGATAGTGGTAACTCTGTTGTTGTTATTTTAAAGAAAAAGTCTACCACTCTTTTGAAAGACCATTAAAACATGTTTAAATCAGTTGTAAATTATTCCTGAAGAATGCTTGATTTGTATATGTGAGGAGTTCATATAATTTCTTATTGGTGCTCTACCAAGTAATAGTCAGACATTACCTGTGCCTGATCAGACAAAACTAGGTGCTGATCTCTGAAACCAATGCCAAATTGGACTTGGAAGACAATGCCATGCAATCAGAGGGAAGAGGGCATGTCTACAACAGCTCAGGATGAAAAATCAAATCTGAATAGATTCTAGCCCCTGATCGTTTCATCACTAACTTGTCTGATAAGATGTAGCTGAATGTTTGTATGGCAAGGCTTGCATTAGCAGAAGAGGAAAAACACAGCTTTAAAGCCAACAGCTATTGGTTGAAAGCTGCCTCTGTTGTGGGCTAAAGATGAAAGACCTGCATAAGGAGACATATCATCTACAGCCTCATACCAATAGCCTCTCACCGACCAGTTCGCTCCCATAGAGAGGGACTCCTCGGGATGCCGTTGGCCAATGTCGACTGGCAGCCCCCAGGGGGAGAGCCTTCTCTGTGGGGGCACCTGCCATCTGGAACGAGCTCCCCCCGGAGATACGGAGGATCCAAGACTTACGCATCTTCCGCCGCGCCCTAAAAACGTTTTTATTCCAACAGGCTGGTCTGGCCTAACTCTCCTTTTAAATTAGCTTTTAAATTGGCTTTTAAATTGGGTATTAAAATCTCTTTTAGATAAATTGGATGTTTTTAATCTCTGAGCCTAAATTATTTAATCTGTTTTTAATAGTTTTTAACTTTTGTATGTCTTTGTATTTTATTTTTGGATGTTCACCGTCCTGAGTCCTTCGGGAGTAGGGCGGTATACAAATATGATAAATAAATAAATAAATAAATAAATAAAGACATTGGTGGAATGTAAGAACAACCTCCAAAGATTCATTTCCTCGCATAGTGCATAATTATCTTGTGAAATTCTTCACCATGAGACATAGTGATAGACATTAACTTAAATGGCTCTAAAAGGCGACTGGATACATTTGTAGAGGACAATGATTATGGTCTTGAAGATGTGTGCCATTTATTGGCTGATTTCAAGTGCTTGAGCAAGAAAATGGTGGGGTAAGTGCCTATACTTCCATCCTTCAAAGTACAAGCTGTGCTGTATATTCAATACAGTATTACCAGCACCAATATTTTCGTAGCTTAGCCCGAACACAAGTCAATTCGAATTTACAGTGTGCATTTATAGTGAATGCCAGACCTTTTCTAACATTTTAATATTACTTAAAAGCTTTTAGAGGGGCAAAGTAGCACGAGTAAAACTAGATCCAATGATTATGCAAAACAAAAAATCAATTTCAAACCTTATGTCAGAAGAACAGCTTTACTTAATGTAGAATGAAAAAAATAATTGTCTTAAGAGGGAAAAATAATGTTCTTCTATACCTGCTCTCAAATATAATATTTATGGCAGATTGTAATAAGCATTTTGTAAAAGATTTGTGACTCTGAAGATTCAAGAAGGGGAACAAAGAAAGAGTCAAGTTTTGTTGTTCATATAGTGTATACACAGAAATTATTCATAAATATTAGATTCGGGACTTTTTCTGTAATGATGAATAGGAATAATTGTTTTCCAAACAACATTTCAACAACATGAAATGTCCACTCCCCAAACCCTACAAAGCAGTCTGAAATTGGTTTATTGGGATATTTTCAATCTTGGAATATGGAGAACAGTTGGATAACACAAGCATTCAAAAATCAATGTTTTCAAATTCAAAACAATTCAAATTCAAAAATAAAACCAACCACTTTTTGTAAGAACCATTTAATCAGTCCCACCAAGGCCTTTATCTCTGCTCCATGAAGGGAAATGAATTATTTATGCCAATCCATATTTTCACTAAAAGCTGTATTTGCCTGCTTCCAAAGGGAAAACAAATAAATCTGAGTATATGTAATAGCATAAAGCTGCTTGGCTACTACAGTCAATCATTATCCCTTGTTTAAAAATACCATTTTAAGGATATCATCATACGTTCTAACAATTTTGAAAACAAGTAATGTTCCTAATGCTTAATTCATAATGGTTATAGGTTCTAAAGATGACTGAAGAAGGGAATTGCAAACAAAATGCATAATTTTTAAAGTGCATAGAATTCATTGCAAGGTCAATTTTATTAGGACTAATAGATCTCATCTGCAAAAATCCAGATGATCACTAGACATAGAAAGCTAACTCAAGTGGTTAGTTTATCTATTCTTTGATTAGAGTTTGCAACCAAGACATGTTAGTCCTAAACTTCAAGGAAAATTTGGGAATAGGTTGGAATACACAGGGCACTCACATTATGTCCCAATAGCATATCCTTAAAGATGCTCCTGATATGAGCTCTGAAATATGCTTTTCTTTTCAACTTGAGATCATTGCACAGATCCACTCCTAATGTCATTACTGCTAACCCCAATAGCAAGGCAACCTTGAAGGTCCTGGAGAAGGATTTGAGGCTTAGGAGTCTGGAAGAAGAACAAGGCAAGTTTTTTTCCAATTAGAAAAGTTTATCTACCAAGTATATATATTCACCTTTCAAAAACAAAGACTGCTTTCAGTCCAGCAGCATCAGCCAGAAGAGGTCAAAACAGGCAAGATGGCATTAAATTGCTGCAATTAAAGCCCTATCCTTTCATAATACACACAGTATTGAAACACACGCAAAAGGGACAACTGGCATTTTGTTTGTTTTAACCTCCTCTGAATATGCCACTTTTCTTTCCTTCCCTTCCTTTTTTATAATGCGTTACAAAGCCAGAAATAAACTTGTTCATCAGCTGAACTCAACCAACTCCTTGGGAATACAGACCTGGCAGAGTCTTCTTAGAGAAAAGCTTTGGGTTAAGTAGATGAGAAGCCTTTTCACTGGAATTATTCTAAACACAATCCATATGCAGGCAGAAAGTTAAAAGAAAAACAGGAGCTTGAACTTCTCAGAAATGACAGTAATTATATAAATGTGTACGTTGTCTAGTATCATTTAATTTCTATTGGAATTTTTGTGAGATTACCTTTAGTCTAACCAGTACAGGATAAATGCTGGGCATCAAATGTACGTTAAGACAAAATACTGAATATAGTACTGTCTTCTTTTTATGCTTGTTTTTCCAAACTTTGTCCAAAAGAAGAGGGGTTTATACACACATATTCAATAATACTGTTTTTATTTGGTATGCACTGATATCTAAGCATAGTACAATACCTATTTTTCTCCATCACAGATACACAGCATTGAGCTTGGAATGAGTAAATGGCCCAAACTGCCCTCTAGATACTTTACTAGTTAGCTTCCACATATAATTCAAGTTGCCGCTATATTATAGTTGTCACTATAAAGCCCTTTATACCTTGAGGCCTGGACAATACAATTTTTCCCATTTTTACCTGTCCAATAAGATCTGGCAGGATTGGCATGCTCTAGGTCCCTTTGGCAAAGCAGTATCATCTCATGGCATCCTGGAGTTGTTCTTACCTTTTAGAATAGCTGCTTAAATCAGCATATTGCATTATAGGAAAGCCTTGAGATGGTCCTGGGTCTTTTAGCAGACTCTGGGAGTGCACTTGTGACGTATGTTTGTACATTGTTGGTTTCCTGATGTGATTTATCTTTTTTATTGTTAGATTTCTTTTTAATATATTGGTATCATTGTACACTGCCTAGACTTGGTTTGGTAATCAAGGCAGTCAGTAATTCAATTAAATAAAGAAAAGAACTTTCATGGATGAACAGAATGGACTTGAATTTGACTTGAATCTCCCCACTCCTGGTCCAACTCCTTAATCTCCACATTATGGTTTCTTTCATAATTATTCCTCATTACTACACTGAGGCCCTTAATTCTGGAAGGTGAAATGTGTCATTTGAGGCATCAAATGTTTAAGACACTATATGCCACTTTGCATCATGATATTTAATAAATTAAAATGTCACACTTATAGATACCTTCAGTATCTCATGTCTTCTGGGCCTTTACAGCAGGGAAAAAAGAGGAAAAAGACATGTAAACTTTTCAGAATTTTTTCTAGTCTAAGTTGAACCTAACAATTGTCAAGATAATAGTTGATTTGTTCTGAGTATTTAAATCTCATGCAGGGGTGTTTATGATGGTTCCTTTCTTGAATAATTCTTTAGAAATTGGGAGTTTACCACTTACAGGCATTCTGTCCTGGCTTTTGCTGCAGTATGGTTGGCCTCTGAAATGAAAGTGTGTGGCCTGTGGCTCATGAAGAGTGGGCCATCTACTACTACTAGTGGCACTAGCATATCCCAGCACTGTCAAGGATTGTCAGAGGTTCATACTTCTTTGCTGTCCTTTTTCTGTGCCCTCTGCTTACCTTTGAAGCATAGCACAGTGAACCAAGAAGTCACAATATGTACCTGTTCCCTCACTTTCCTAATTCTCTATTGCTGCCAAGCCTATGAAATACCAATCTCTTCAAGAAGCACCACAGTGCACATCTTCCCACTGCTGCTATCACCGCACCTCTCTTCTTCCTTACCTTCCATAGAGGAATGTCTCTCTCCCTTTACTTGGCTGCTTGGTGAGCAGTCAGGTGACTTTTATGGCAGCAAAGCTTCCAACTCACTTGTTTGTCCCTCAGCAATCCTTTCTTGCTCACTCAGCAAATGAAGTTTCCAAAACGTCTGGAGGCTTCATACTTCCCTGACCTTTCTAACACCCATGAACTGCTGGATTATAACACCAGCAAATAAGCCTGTAAAACTACTGTGTTGTCCATTTTTTTTTTCTCATTCTGTCTTCCTACTTCAGCAGGGTGTTCAGCCAACTTCCTGGTTCCCCCTTTTTTCCCCTTTTTTACTCAAGATGTCAAAGTATCTTTCAGGATATCCTCTGGATTTCAAGCAGCCTCCATGAAATTGAGCTGCTGCTACTGCTACTATCCCTGCCGTAGGAACAATAAGAAAAATGGATGTGCAAGTTAACAAATATACATTTGTTGTAGAAGTGGCCTGGATGGCAAAGTATCTTACAGGTAAGGGTACAATTTATTTTACACTAACAATCACTAACGTTTCCTTTGTCTTGTAGGAAATAAATGTAGCCACTTGTTTCTGGGAAACCCATTTCCCCCGATCCATGTTCCAGTCACTTTCTTTGTAAAACCCCCAAAATATTCTATATGTCTGGAGGAAGCCTTTGACTTGAAAAAGGTTCCACATTCCTAATGTACAACCTACTGTTCTCTTTAATGGGTGGAGGAAATGCAGGTGTAGCTTTTTTCATTCTCCTTTCATCTTATTTTTATCTGGAATTCCTGTAGTTTTTTCTTTTCTTGTCTTTGTTTATACCTGTTCCTTCCCCTGTCTTTCTGCTTCAGCTCTGAATATTTCTTATAGTTGGTGATAAGCAGATGGTAATGGATTAGCTGAGTATGGAAGGGAGAGGAAGACAAGACACATTCATTATTTACAGCTGCTTCTTTTGCCTTGTAATTCTGAGATGACTCAGAGGAATGACAATGAACTGATTAAGTTTTAAAAGGCAAACTGTTTTCTGATACAGTGGAACTCATTCTCTCTTTAGGCCTGTTGTTCACAACTCAATACTCTGCAAAAACAATAACAAAATTAAAATGTTAGACATAGACAGATTACATATTTCATCTAAGTTGGTTAATGCTGATGACGATAATACTAACAAGTATAAAACTTTATAATAATACAATCAATATAACAATAGTGTAAACATTATATACTTATTGTTAAGAGCAGTGAGAAATATATGAGAAGTTAGTGAAAATCTACCTAGGATCTTATAATTTGGATTGTTATACAATGTAGGTGGTTGGACTTGATGGTTTAAATCAATGGCTCCCAGCCTTTTGGGCACCAGGGACTGGTTGCATGGAGGGAGATTTTTCTGCAGACCGGAGGGGTCGTGGTTTTGTGTGCTGCCTGCATCCTGCAGATGGGGCCTTGTTTGTGCAGCCCAGTTTCTGGCATGCTGTGGCCCGATGTCAGTCCACAGCCTGGGGGTTGTGAACCCGTTCTAAATGGCACCTTCCAACTCTATGATTATATACACTATATGGTAGAATTACATCTGGCACAGATATTGTCATTTTAACACTTCCTTTTTCTAGTATGCAAAGACTAAATATAATTTTACACCTGATACATTTGTCCATATAGATCTTTATCTATAATTAATTATAATTAATTAAATGTCTTTTTTCCAAGTAAACTTCACTTATACTCATACTTTTCAGGAAGGTCACGACAGTCTTGTATGCTGGTGCTTATTTGATTTAGTTTTGCCTATATATAACCATAAAATATTAAGACCAAACCAGACATGATGTGAGAGATCCATTAATAGATACTTCAATTATTTTAAAAACTTGAAAGCAGGTGCACTTAATAAAGAATTAATAAAGAATCAAGGTTGGAGTAGTAGAGGAAGGTAGTTACTCTGTGCTAAAGTGGGATTATCTTTCTATCGTTACATGACTAATAGCTGATTTAGAAATAGATAATAAAAATAGGAATTAATTAACTGTTCACACCAACCTAATTCCAAGTCTCTCCATGGCTTCTTTTAATTGTTAGGGGGAAAAGTCTATTTAGGAATCTCCCAAATCATGCCTCATTTGTTGCTTATTTTTAAAAGTATTTAAAAATACTTATTTTAAAAATTAAGTATCTAAAATTAAAAGCAGAATACTCTTACCAATTAATAAAAATACTGTGATATGGTGGAGGATTTTCGTTTAAAATAAGTTCGCTTGTTACCAAGCTAGGAGTTATGGTCTGTGATGAACAATCAGAAAAATAAGGTGGTGGTGGTGGAGGAAAAACCATTACAGTATCACCTGCAAAAGAAAGGGAATGCTTTAAAACCAACATCTTCTGCAGATTTCTTTGGAGCAGTAAATAAGAGAACCATGCTTTCAAAGTATATTTCACTAGAAATTCAACATGAGTTGGAATGTTTAATTTATATCTTTAAACTAATTTCAGTTTTTCAATATAATTACAATATATTTTATAATGTACAGGCAGTCCTTGATTTATGGCCACAACTCAGTCCAAAAGCTCCATTGCTAACCAGAGCAGTTAAGCACTTGAGTTGCACCCCATTTTACAACTCTATTTGCCACAATTGTTAAGCAAATCACTGCAGTTGTTAAGTGAATCATGTGGTCATTAAACAAATCTGATTTCTCCCATTGGCTTTACTTGTCAGAAGGTGGCTGGGAATGGTGATCACATGACTCTGGGACACTGCAGCTGCCATAAATATGTGCCAGCTGCAAGAGCCTAAATGAAACCCATTCATAAGTCACTTTTTTTCAGTGCTATTCTAACTTCAAATGGTCACTAAATGAATAGTTGTAAATTGAGGACTACCTGTATTGAATATGATTGAAATACAATATAATTGAATACAATTGAAATAAAAATGTTCTACCCCCAAGACATACAAAAATATTTATATAAAAGTATTATGTTTACTTATGTCTTTCAAACTTTTAACCAATATATTCACTTACTCAAACTCAATTAATGGTATCCTGGAAAATGGCAAATCTCTCTGACATTTGTGAATCCTTTGTTTACTTATTTGTATCCCACTGTTTTATCCCTTTCTTTTCTTCTTTTTTCTTCCCTGTTTATATACTTTCTCTAAAATTACTAATAAAACATATTAGAAGGAAGGGAGAGGCATGATATCTATGGTTGCTTTCTAATGACTGATAAAAATATCTGGCTGGTTTATTTACTTACCTACTGTAACTTGAAATGATTCAGAGTTCAGTTGTTCTTCACTGACTGAAGATTCTTGTATAAGGTTTAAATTTTGTTTCTTTTTAATGTGAGCTATTACAAAGAAACATAATCCAATAAGCACAATTAAAGGGCCCATAGTTTGAACAGAATGAAACCCACAGTCCTGGAGTTCAACGCCAGATGTATTGCTATGGTTAAACTGCTGATAGCGCCATCCTGGACTGCATCCCGGAATCCATATGCCAAGGACACTAATGAGCATCCCACTTGTTAAAAATAAAAACCCAAAGACGAGAAACTGAGCAAACTGACAATTTCCTCGACAAAAAACAAATCCATATACTTGATCGTCTTGCAATTGCACATCTCTGAGATAATCTTTGGCTCTCGATTGTGCCAAAATTATACAAACTAGTCCAACAACTGCAAGCAGAGGCCCAATGATTTTGAAAGCTCCCTTACAGTCACCAAAGGCTCCACTTGGACATGTCTGCAAAACAAACATTGATAGCAAAAATCCAGCACATAACAATGTAATGCCAAAAACAAAAAGGAAAGAGATAAATTTCCTAGGATGTCCATTATCTCCTTCCATTCCAGATAGGGAGCGAGGAACTGAATACATTATTATTGTAATATGAAATCCTCCTTCAAACTGAAATAGAATCTGTTTTCTTCTATGAAGATCAGAATGACATAACTCTTTAGTAGGCCTGGAAATTAAAACAAAAAGATAAATATAATTAGGCCATAAAAGGAAAACACACTGATTATTCTTGCCATAGAACTGCAAAGTTGAAATAAGGTTAACTCTTCCTGCTTAGTTTGGTGGACACCAAAAATATTCCAGTGCAATATTATTAGCTCTAGAACAAAAACAAAGAACAGTCAGAAATATGAGATATGACAAAAGGAAGTCAGTGGAAATCTTTTGCACATTCTGGAAGTGAGTCTGCCTTTAATAATGACAGTAAAAGGAAGCTCAGATTAAAACAAGTTTTACAGTGAACAAGAACTTCCAAATCATTCCTTCCTTCCTTCCTAGTATCAGCACAAATAGGAAACACAGGGAGACTAAAACTACTTTTGCTGAGACCGTGTCAAACCTAAGGAAACAGGTCTACATTTCTTTATTGCTACAATGCCTACTTACAAGCATCTCACCAGACAGACTGCATTCTCTTGGGAATGGTGAGCTAAGGCTTCAGGGACTGTGGGAGAGATAAGGCCTGTGGTCATGGGTGAAATCCAGCAGGTTCTGACAGGTTCTGGAGACCGGTAGCGGAAATTTTGAGCCATTCGGAGAACCGGCAAATGCCACCTCTGGCTGGCCCCGGAGTGGAGTGGGAATGGAGATTTTGCAATATTCTTCTCCCAGGAGTGGGGAGGGAATGGGGATTTTGCGACATCCTTCCCCTGCCACGCCCACCAAGCCACACACATAGAACGGTAGTAAAAAAAATTGGATTTCACCATTGCCTGTGCTGTTTTCTGCTCTGCAAGGACTCACACCTCTCCACACTCTTAAATAGAGATTCCACCACAAACTGGCTATTATCAGAATCTTTGAACTCTGATTTTTATTAGAAAATTATAAGGTAATCACACTGAAATCAATCCCAGAGAATTACTACAAGTATAAGCTCCCTTTTTACGACCCTATAGTTCCTATTTGAGTAGAGTCGGGCGACTGGATGGAGCTAAGAATTTACTGATCAGATACCCTTCCTGACGCCTACATGGAGTTCGCAGAAAATATTGTTTCTTTCTGCTCTAGAACAAAACATTTGCCACTGTCTAGGATTGAACTCTCAACCTTCCGAGCGGCAAGTGAATGTCATCATCAATATGCCAGCACGCTGCTCTTGCTACAAGAATAATATAGATTAATTAAGCAGATACACAATTAGAATGCAAGTAGGGAAAGAGACTTTTTAGACTGGAAGAGGAAACAATATAAATTAACCTAAATAAGAAATAAAAGAACATCATCTTAGTTGCTCCTATTAAAATAAATTGCAGGGACTTTGTTGTGTATTAGCCACAACACTAGTTAAATACAAATATCATACCTTTATGTTTTTCAAAATTTCTTATATGATAAAGTCTTATTTGAGTCAAGCTTGCTAGCTTCTCATGTACTTTTCCTGACAGTTGTCTGGAAAAATTTGTCTGACAGTTCCTACATTCTGTGTTTTTGTTTTTACTTCCCATTTTACCTTACAGCTCTGACTATTTCCTGGTGGTCTATCATCCAGATCAGTCTGTCAGTCATTCAAGTACTAACCAATTAGATCCTACTTAGCTTTTAGCTTCTTCAATATTGTTCTTACTTTTTGAGGCAACATTACATTTCATCAGTAATTACATTTTATCAATAATTCTCCATATAGATTTTAAACAGATCTATAAGCTCATATATGTGATGCACAGAGACTACAAAGAAGCAGATTTATTTCTCATTATTGTAAATTGTGGAATTGGGAACATGAAAAAAACCTTGAGCCTATCCCATTGTAGTAGTCTTCGACTGTAAGTTTTTGATCCATAAATAATGAGTTTTGTAGCTGAAATATCTGGAGATTGTCTTAAGGAAAACAAGACTAGACAGATTGAATTTTTTATTATATTCTTCCTTCTTTCAGAATAGAATTGATTAATGAATTTGTCAGATTCTAATCACATTTATTTCTCATTAATCCTTTTTTAAGCAAAATTCATCCATAGAAAATATACATTCTTGCTGATTTTTTCTCATTCTGTATCCAATATGTATAATTGAGTTTACATATGCTGTATGCAATTATTTCTGAAATCATATCAACATTAACTATTTAGTTGGGAAGTATATTTTGAATTAGTGGGGTTTTTAAACTGTACCATATATAATTTTCAACAATTTAGAGATGGTTATATCTCATGTTAACTACCAAACTTGTTATAAATGGAGCTGTCCTTAAAAACTATCCAGAATCCAAAATTGTGAAAAAAGGCAGCAACAAGTTCCTAATAAGTGCAAGATACAGGACTATATAATTCATTGGTTTACAATTGTTTAGCCTACCGAAGTTAAAGCCCTGGTGCAATCAGATTAGTTTATAAGCTATGCAATTCTATGAACATCTACTTAAAATTAAGTTTGGAGGCAAAGGACTGAAGCTTTAAACTATTAAAAAAGTAAAAATAACATAGACCTTCATCCAGTTTCTTCTAATCTAGACATTTTATATTTTTTCTGTATTTTGGTAACTGTTTAGTTCAAAGACAAAAACAAAGCATTAAAACATGGACCTTTTAATTACATTTATAAAATGGGTCTTTTCTGTGTCAATCTTGTAGTGCAGCTACAAAGACAGATAGATACATGAATCAATCCACCAGCCTCTTTATTGAAAATTATGGACCATAATCTGCATGCTGATTCAATATCGATTAATAGATAGATGTTTCCAATTTACTAAGCTAAGGCTGAAAGTGAATATCAGGCTGTGAATTACCCAGCCAATTTCTATACAACCTGGATAGCTTCACTTCTAGCTTAGCATTTTAATTGCAATACTATACTGGCTCTCCTACATATACATTCTATCATCCATCCATCCATCCATCCATCCATCCATCCATCCATCCACATTTTTATAATGCTTTCAGAATCAGGGAAAAAAAGAATACAAGCAATTCATGGTTGTGGAATTAACCAATGAACTTCTATGCTAGAAAAGCAACGTCTATGTTTATTATGAATTCTAAAAGTAAAATCATTGCACAAGTAATGTACAAGTACATTAATTAGCTTGAAGTTCTGTCAAAATGTCAAACATTCATAATAAAAGTTTGATAACATTCTCAAAATCATCACTATTTTAAAATTTTCAAGAAATTCACTGGAATGATGAAATGATCTGAAACATATCCACAATTTTAATGGTACTACACCTGTAGAAAGTATTACAGGAAGAGATTAGGTACATTAATGATGCGGAGGCCAGAGAGAAACCTTTCATGGGAGAAAGCCATTGCTTTATCTTGACTGTCACTTCATTTCTATATATATATTCTTATCGAGAAACAAGTCCAATGCAATTAACTCCCATGTAGGCAAGTACAAGATCACAGCTTAATTTAGCCAAGAACTAAAAATATGAAACACGATTATCACCAATGAATACCAACAAAATTAAAGCCAAGCTTTAAAAATCTTGTAGACTACAGTATAATGCCTATATACATTGTAATTGTATATAGGGTTTCAGTTTGTTTAAACTGTATGAAATATTAAAATGATGTGAGCCAAAGAACGTATGCAATACTCTGCAACATTAAACATTAAAAGTGATTTTGATTCCACCCCAAATAGAAAAAGGTTTAAATGACAGAAGGGATACTATACATTTCTATCTACAAATAAAGTAGAAGAACAGAATGTGTAGTTTTCAAAATATATAGTAAGTTAGGCTATAGAGTTGTATTATCATAACCAAACTATCTGCCTCTATCAATAGGATCAAGATGCTATCAGCCACTATGCAACTGTCATATATAGCAGAGGCAGTTATTTAATAACAGAGACTGAAACCGGGGACAAACAATTGTAGCAAGCAGTAATTTTATTCTTAAGAAATAGTGCATGAGCATATGCCATACTTTCCCTCTGATATCTGAAGCTATTCTTAACTAGTCATACTAAAACATATATTTGTTTTACGCTGTCAGCAAAAAGAAGCCACTTAAGAGCAAATTCCTGTCAGCAGATATTTTTTGTAAAATTACTGCATACCTTTTTCTAGCCAGGTATATCAGAAGTATCAATCTAGGCTTGTAGGGCATACCGAACACCAACCACATTTTAGTCTATTATACCATGTGAATTTAGCACATATGTGCAAAGGGAACCTTTACGTCTTTACTGTTCAGTGTGTCATGGAAACTTATAAAACTGGGTTATTTTAATTAATCATGGCTAAGTTGATCAGGTAGAAATATCTGGGAACACAACCTCTTGAATAATTTTATCAGTCATATCAGCTTTTTGGAATAAAATGAGGCATCTTGCAGTACTCTTGTTTCATCTACTCTATCCACTTCCAGTTTTGAAAGATTGGAATCCATTTCATGAGATGTCTAAAGAGCAATCTATACCGTCACAACAGGAGATCCAGCCTCTGAGTAAGAAAGGCAGCCTTGTGCCAAAAACACCACTGGAAGCAACAAAACATAAATACGTACACACACACTTGGCAGATAGCAGTAGTCCAAAGGCATAGGACAAGCAAGATACCACCGCATTCTGGAATGGTTGGATCACCATTTCAACATGAACATTTATTTGCAGGGAGCAGGATCTGCAAAATGGGATACTGTACGTTTTGAGGTGGGAATTTTTCCTCACTGGAATAACACTTGTGAACTAGGGCATCCCCCCCCCCCTACACACACAGTGAAAAAAAGCATCCCCAATTTCTGGCGTTCCAATTCAAAAACCCCCACCAACCATATCACCAATCCCACTGACAAGTCAGCTGCTCTCCCTTTACCTGATGCTCTCCAAGCTGCCTTGGGCCAAAATTTCAATTTCCCTCACCCCCTCCTCCCCTCTCCAGTCAGCAAGCCCAATGGCTGTGATGGCTATAAGGACAAAGAGTTCGAGTGCAAACGCAATACTTGTGGAGCGGAGATAACCTGTTTGAAGACTAACTTGCACGTACGGAGTATACAAGCTCCTCAACCTTTCAAAGTAAAAAAAACCAAAAGCAACAACAACAAAAACCACCCCGCCAGCTCGGACAGGCTTTTCTTTTTATGGCGTAGGGAAAAGGATGGCGGCAGCGCGAAGAAGCCGCAATCAAGGAGTTCACTCCGACACCGGCTCCAGCATCGGCCTCGGTCTCAGTAAAAAATACTGAACGGGGTTCCCAGTATCCGAGGGGGAGAATAATAATAATAATAATTTAAAAAAAGCGTCTCCGCACCAGCCGCCATTCCTGCCTGCAAAAGCCCAGCCGTTCGTTTCCCCCACCCTTCCTTCGCCGGAGGGGAGGCGCCCCAAGGCTGGAATTAAGAAGCCTGGCTAGGACTACCTTACACCGGAGAGACCCTTCTCCTTTCTCGGCGGGCTCTGCGTCGTGGGGTCCGGGAAGCTGGGCGCTTTCCTCTGGCCGCGAGTGCCGGTTTGCTGACGCCCGGAGTGACCTTGAGCCGCGACGCTCCCGCGGTTTTCCTCCCCGCTTGGCTCCTTCCTCCGCAGCCGCTACCGAATCTTTTTTTTCACCCCACCAGTCGAGTCCCAGAGGCCGCGCCGGGTGAGCAAATCGCGCGCGCCCTCTGGGGTGAAGGTCCTTCCCAAGCAGGCGGTGCTGAAGAGGGAGCCGCGGAAATGCTAGAAACCGGCCTCTTCTTCTCCCTCCCTCCCTCCCTCCCTCTCTCTCCGGATGGGGAGGAAGGAAGGAAGGCGGCATTTTAAAGCGTGACGTGCACGAGCGGAGTTTGCAGGTGCAAGCTAGCAAACTTTTAACAAGGTGCATCACTTCCCCCAGAAACAGCTTTCATATTTTTCGGATTTTGGGAGGGAGGAAGGGAGGCTAAAAACGCTCAGTATGTCCAGTGCAGAAGGAAAGAATTATGTAACAGAACACACACACACAAAACTTCCAACTTTTTTCTGCCTCGGGATAAAATTAAAAGCTTTTTACAGTATTCAACACCAAACAACTTGGATAATTGCTGAATATTGGTTTCTTTGGAGATTTTAGAAATATTAAATGTTGGTATGACAGATAACATACTGACAGATATTAGCTGTAATTGAGGCTGGAATGTCATTGTAACTATAGTTGAGGAATCCCAGGAGAAAATCCCAATGATAGCTCATTATAAGAGGAATATCTTCTTTGTTGTCTATGTGGGTCCCATGAAATTGCTTCTCTGCATGGAATTGATGCCTAATTTAGGGGATTTTGTTATGCTTAAAATCATTCAAGCTGCAGGTGAAAATTCTACAGTTGTGCACAAGAGAAAAAATTATTGGTTTACATAAATCAGAACTGAAAAATAGAGTGAAATATTTTGAGTTTGGATAGGAAGACCAGACATGTATTTCATAAATATTAAAAAAAATCATTCGGAAGATGCTAATACTTGCGGATGTCTGTCTAATCACTGCAGGTCACTGATATAACTTTTATATCAGGCAAATAATAAATACATAATTTTCTAATATGACAGCTATAGATAGATAAATTATTTAGCACTAAGTAAGTCTAGGGCATTTTCTGATGGAGGTTTTCAGAACAGCTACTGTCCCCCCAGTCATTCTCAAGAAAATTGTTTTGGGACTTTTATTTTTCATTCTGCTCTATTTTTGGCAAACTGCAGTAAATTTTGTTTTGAACTGTGAACGATCCATCTTTCTACTGGAAGCAATTCTCCCCATACCTGTGGCTCAATTCACTCATTATCTAGAGGCCACTTTCTGCATCTTTAACAGAACTTCATATAATCCAGTCAACACAGAAAAATGCATCTATAGTTTCAGTAGTTGGAGAAAGATTCTTGATTGCGAAACTGCTCACATATTGTACTTTTGTATCAACTTCATGAATTGTACACTATTGTATTACAGTGAGTATTACAATGGACGAAAAAACTATTGGGGAATTCCTATAGCCGTAATAGTGCTCAAAAATATGTAGAAAAGGAACAAATTGTAATGGTGAAGCAGAATCAAATTATATTTTATCTGAAGACTGTCCATGGAATGTTTCTGCATAATGTATGAAATCATATAAACAGCAACAATCAGATTATTATATATTACATGTTTATTATAGGTGCAATTTTTAAAACATTTTTGTAAAAGATCAGATGTATTTACAATTTCTCTAAGATTTATATTGCTCTAATTTACAGTTTGTAGAACCTGCAGACCCTTCATATTTGAGTTTACAAATTCTCCCCAAGAGGCAGCTACAAAGGCGATATCTTTATAAACAAGCAAGGTCCAGCTTGCTACATGAAATTTCCACGAGATAGGTTTTATTTATACACATCTGTATCTATATTTAGATATAGATATTTTTTTAAAAAATTATAAAGTTGCATGGCTTCAAAATTATAACCTGCAGCATTTGTGAATATGTATTTGAGAACATTTGGTAGTAAGGCTAGAAGGTGCTGAAATTTAGCACTAATTTAGAAAGAATACATGATTAAAATGGAAGATAAAACAGACTGACTTTCAAAAGTTATTGAACTGTTCAGATAGTTGTTGATTGCATTAGCAGATTACGATTAAGAATCCATTAAAAGTCTGTACCATCTAAATTTAAGTTAAAAATTCCATCAAAATGTATTATTCTACAATATAAAAATTCACTGTGTAGTACTCTAATGGAACCTTAGATTTTTATAAAACAAGGCAAATATGTAAAAACTAATTTTTGACTGCAATTCTATAATCAGTTATTAATCTATGAATTATTCATGCTTTTCAGTATTTGTCTTTATGTCTGAAAACAATTACAATTGGATTCATTTTTGGTTAAAAATGTGAAACTGAAGAATTTTGAGTGAGAACCCAGAATTGAAAATCAAAGATAAAGTGGCTTTTTTTTCTTAAGGAAAAAAAATTAGCTGCCATTTCCCCCCATCCCAATAATGAGCCAAAGTATCTTGTACATTACAATGTCATAATGTAGTATCTTTCTGAGAGACATTTATATCGCAGTTAAAGAATGAATGTTGCTGGGCTGCTGAAGGTATATCTACACATGAAGTGATGACAAAGGTTTATTTCTTTTTAAAAGCAAAATAAAAATAAAAATGATCCATGTATCTTTAAAAATAAGACGACCACATCTCAAGTGTCTGATTTCCTCCCCACCCACCCCCCCACCTCACTGATTTTTCTCTCCACTTTTTGTAGGAGATTAATGGTCTCACAAAAGGGAGGAAAAGATATCCCATTTATCCTAGGTAATGGTATTCATTACTTTGATGTCAATAGAACAGAATACATCTAACTTTATTTTTAGTGTGCTAAAGATTCAAAATTTAGTGACTATATAGAACACTGATATATTAATCCACTATTTTATTAGAGTATTATCCACTGAGTTAGTGATTTTCATGTATGCTTTTGTTAGGAACTAGAATTTGAAAAAATATTTAATCTCTGGTGCTGTTGACCATATAATTCACCCACCCTAATAACTTTTGACTTTTACATTTAATCTTTTAAAGGCATATAGATAAGTTCTAAAAACAGGATTTGTATTAAACTTATCTAAATGGGTCACTTTCTTTATATTAGGGCTATTACCTGCTTCTTTATTTGTGGTAAAAACATATTGAAATTATCAATAATTATTTTTGTCTTACTCAAAATAGACCTTTAAAACAACATTGCTGCTCATAAGCAACACTTTAAATCCATTGTATATGTTTGAAAGCATGTGAAATTCAGCTTTTTGTAGCTAGAAGAGGAAATTCTACACTTTTCAGAAGTGTAGAATTTTTTTATTATTTTAAAATTTAACTCACTTTCAGGATTTTACACATCTTTGGTGATATTTTAAATTTTGATACTATATGGTAACTGACAAAAGTTAAAAGGTTTCTTTTGTAATGGCTGCATTTATTGCATTTAACCCAACAGAAGTTATTTTAAAGGCTATTTTCTGTTTTGATTTCCAAATGCCAGGTTATATCCAATTGTGCCTATCTTCCAGTGAAAGAGATTGTAGTGTGCTGGTTGGGTTCTCCTTCCCACTTTAAATGCCTCATGACTCCACAAAATTGGCACCAGAAGTCCTGAAGAGCTTCTCTAGCAAATTTGAGGGGTACATGGAAGATAGAACACAATTGATTCTTCCATTCTGTAAGCATAAGATTACTGCCTTCAAGTTTACTAATTGGAAGATCTAGATAGTGAAAACAAGAAATGAGAAGTACATAAACATTTGACAGGCACAGCTTTGAAAAGGCACAAACATTACACATTTCATATAAAAATAAATAATCTACAGCATTAATTAAAATTACAACTCCCATCATGTTAACTAATGGCAGAAGTAAATAACTCTGTTGTACATTGCAATTAAAAAAACCCATTGCACTTTACATTAAAAACCATCTATTATAAAACACTGGTCATTTAATTATGTATGATATATGGAAATAAAGTTATTTTTATAGATAATCTCTAATAAGATATGACACATGAATATACAAGTGTGAAAACAAAAAATACTTTGCCACTGTTTTGTTTAATGGAATGGCAATATTGAAAATTGAAAAATATACTTCAGTAATATTTATAGAAAGTTAAAATATAGTTTTGTTTAAGGTATCACAAAGCATCACACACTTTAAATACCACACATAACTGCTATTTGGCTCCGAAGCTACATTACTACTAAGTATTTCAGTATCTTGTTTCCCAGTATTGCAACTGATTTTCTATATTGTTGGAGTTCATTTCAGTGCTATTTCAAAACAGAATATTTTTAAAACTGACTTATTTTCAAAAGTGCATTTTGTTGGGTATAAACTCCAAAAACTATGTAATGTGTTTTCAAAAATTAATGCATGTTAAAATAGTGTTGGAAAGATAGTAAGAGAATGAATAAACTTCTTATTCATTGGAAAATAACCTAGTTTTCTTAACAGGCTGTTCAGCAATCTGCCATATATCGTCCTGAAAGACATAAAAAGTTCCAGTTAGTATCTCAATAAAAAACATTAATAGAAAAGTAATTTTTTAAACTAGGCTTGCACATGTTTTGCTATCCTGGGTTGTTTACTTCAGTTCTCAAAGTGATGATCCCTGACCTTCCGTCTAAAATTAGGATTTCATGAATTGCATGAATCCTCCCACTTCCTCCCAGGCTCCAAGGATGGAAGAATCCTTGGGAACTGATTGGTTGCACCCAAGGAACCTGGTGTGCTTTATCATGCAAAGCCCTTTGTTGCCCTTACACATAGAGTTTTCCTAGGTGTAGAACTGTTGCATGAAGCAGAAGAATGGGCAGAAAAGACTACTTACTACCTGTATTACACACAAGACACACACGAACATGTTTTAATCAAGATGCAAAATTAGTATTTTTTCAAAGTAGAACACATTTTAACAACCTTGTTCCACACCACCTAGTGTCACTTTTTTATGCAGTGGGTGGCCTTATAAATTTGATAAACTGATAACAGGATTATAAAACTGCAAACACCTATTACAAAAAGTTTTACACTTATGATTCTATATCACCAATGATTGTCAGACATTACAAATTAGCTCTATAGGTTATCCTTAGAAAAACATTATCCTTCTTACCAGCGGCAAACCTCTTCTTAATCAGGGAAAGCCGATAGCCAGTGCCTACTAATTCAACATCTACTCCAGAAAGGGTGCTTCCCTCACTGATAAA